TTAGAGGGAGACCAGGAAATGTAAAACAGAATTTCAAATAGATGGACATTTCTAATGAACTGTATTGTAACCATTGGACTCTTTTTCTTCAAACTTTGCAGAATTGCTCCTTTTTGCCTTTGAGATAAAATCTGGCTGTTTTCAGGCCAAATGAAGTTTCCAACCCACAGTTTTATACAGTTGCTAAAATGGGGTTTTATAATAGACACTTTAACTGAAGAGGTTACCTCTAGAACTGAGTAAATAATTGATTTTTTTTTTTTCAATTTGGTGTCTGAACTGAAAAAAATCAATAGAATTTTCTGGGGTTTTCTCACTCTGATGAAAAACTGAAAAAATGTGACTGAAATGACATTTTGAAATGAACTGTTTTGATTTTTTCCCCCCTCATTTTATTTGGCTGAAAATATTTGCCGAATTTGCAGTTAGTTTTGGTTGCCCCAAAACTGCATTTTTTTGATGAATTTACTATACGTCGCAAAAATGTTGCCCAACTGTAGTTACCAGCTCTCCATAATATCTGTCTCTAGCCTTTATTATTACCCACATGACTCTGAATTCTTTTTTCCTGTCTTTCTCTTGTCTTTGCATTTTCGCTTTTGGGTTGTCTCTGTGAAAGTCCTAATGTTGCATGTAATCCAGATAAGAAAAACCCATTTAGAGAATCAGCACTGAGATCCCAACCAAGTAGTGCAGATTATCCTACCCGCTAAATAAAATAGACCTGTTAAAAGAATAACCACTGGGGCAAGTTGGTGCCTGAGAACTATCTTAGCGAATGGCAGAAAAGAAACAAGCAGTCATCTTGTGGAAACCCCAGACTACTGGGGTGGGGAGGGGTGTCCAGTGACACACACAATTATTAGTCAAGCTCATGGAGAATTATCATTACGTTTCTAAGTTACTGGGTAAATAAACTCTGTATATTATTTTTATCTTTGTACGTGTGCCCAGAAGCTGAGTGAGTGTCACATTCTTTATTAATCTATAACTAAATACAATAAATTTAGTTTGCCCTGAGGTCATATTTTCTAGGCTGAATAATGGTCCCCACTCCTTTCCTTTCATCTTCTTTCTCTGTAGAGTGAGCCAGACTTGGAGAAGGGCTTGGAGATGAGAAAATGGGTCCTGTCTGGAATCCTAGCCAGTGAGGAAACCTACCTGAGCCACCTAGAGGCTCTGCTGCTGGTAAGCACCTGTCACAGACACCAGATTTAATGATAATCTTCACATTTCCAGAGCAACTTTCATTCAAAGATTTCCAAGAGCTTCACAAACACTGACCGTCTCACAGTGACCTGGTGAAATGTACGTAATTGTTATCCTCATTTTGCAGGTGGAGAAATGGAGGCATAGAAAAGCAAAGGGACGTGTCCTAGGTTACACAGGGAGTCATTGGCAGAGCTCGGAATAGAACCCAGGAGCCCTGACTTCTAGTCCTCCTGCTTTAACTACTACACCTGCTGCCCGCCAGCTAGTGGAATAGAGATTAAGGGGACAAAACAAGGGGCACAGGGACTGTAATTTCAGCATTCGTATCCTGGGAAAATCTGTGAACTGGGAGTTGCTGAACTACCCCGAGGAGAGAATTGGTACAGTCTAGTGTTCAGAGAGTCACTGAAGTGTCAGTGGGAACATCATGTAACAGAATAGGAAGGAGGCATTAGAACATGACGACAAAGACAAGTTTACTTGGTGCGTGTAGTAACAATCTCCTTGATTCTACTTTTAGCCCATGAAGCCTTTGAAGGCTGCTGCCACCACTTCTCAGCCTGTACTGACCAGTCAGCAGATTGAGACTATTTTCTTCAAAGTGCCTGAGCTGTATGAGATCCACAAAGAGTTCTATGATGGGCTCTTTCCCCGCGTCCAGCAGTGGAGTCACCAGCAGCGTGTCGGAGACCTCTTCCAGAAACTGGTGAGTAAGCTGCCACCACCAACGCTCCTTTAACCTCAGTGCAGCTTAAATAGGCGTGTCTGCCAGGTGTGTCTGAGACTCTCATTCATTCCTTTGCATGGCTCTGGTGTGTGGAGGTCCATGGCTGGATGAGGTGGTAGAATTTTAAATTCGTCTTTCCACTGTGGAAGGGTCATAACTAGGCCGGCAGTTTTGTGCTTAGAGGCTACATCATGACCCCACCAATATTACAAACACAGTCCGTCTTCCAGAAGACTTTAGAGCTCCCCACAAAGCCTGCAGTGTGTCACTTGCTGATCATTCAGTTACCAAGGAGGCTGGCATGGCATCCTGACGAGAGAGAGAGAGAGACTGTCGGAGCCCTTTGGGGGGACATAGAATAGAGTTCAGTTTCATATTTCACTTCTTGTATAAAATATCCCGTGACACTGCATAGGAGTGAATTAGATGCTAGTGGTGCATTGGCTGTGCAATTACTCAGTATGATTCATATGCTGCCTTGGAGGTTGGAACCATTGTGGTGGAGGACTTCCAAGCAGCTCTCAGAACCCTGCAGTTCTTCCCTATATTTCTGTCCTCAAACATCCTGTGTCATACCTGACCATCCAGCCTGTTTGAACATGATTTCCTTTGGAGCCTGCTAGTCCTGTTCCAGAGCAAGCTACAGGGATTACTACAGAGGGACAGGAAGTGTGTTCTCTCATCCTAGAGACTTACTACTATTATTTATTACATGTGTTGTGATAGCACCTAGGAGCCCCAGTCACAGACCCTGACCACATTGCTCTGTACAAATGGAGAACCAAAACATCATCTGCTGCATCCACATCCCCTGCTGACCCCCTCAGCACATGTGGCAGTGCATTTCACTAGCATTTGCAAAATTCTAATTAAAACTTACTAGCCCAGGCACAAAATCCATGTGCCCAGCCTGACCATGCCAGTGATGATATTGACAAAACTAATGAGATTTTACTCCTCCATCAGTAGACCCTTGCTCCCCCTGTATTAACAGACATATAACACTCTGCCAGCTCTGCACAAGACTGCCAGATCAGCTGCTAGGACCTTGGTGGTGTTTCTTCCTCCTTGAACTGTTCCTGCTGTCTGTGCTCATCTGCCACAGTTCTGGGGGCAGTAGAGAGAGGCAGCCTCACGGGGACTAACCATGTTCTTTCACTATAACCATAGCCAAGGTCAAAGCTACAGGTAGCTGCTTAGGTTGTGCACACAGAAGGCCCCTTATTAGGAATTAGCATCTCAAATCCTTCCTTTGTCTCTGCTCTGGCAGCTGGTCCTCCCTTGGAGCTAGTATAACCCAAGCCGTTATCAGATGATTGTTTCTTTTAGGCATTGCCTCGGGGTACTGCTGCTCTCACTTGGCCAGAGAAATGAATTAGTTTCAGATGTTTGAAAAAGGAAACTGGTGTGTGTGTTTATGTGCATTTCCACTTGTTGCTGCTCTGTTCCACCCCCCCTCGCCGCCTCCTATCCGTTTTGCTTTGCTCCATCTGCACTGTTGTTGTTACCTCATGCTTTGATATTCCACCCTCCTCCCCCTGTGCTCCTGCTATTCCCTTTGCTGTAATTGTGGATGTGTTTTTTCAGTCTGGTGCTGAGAGTTCCCCAAGCAAAGTTCAACAAAAGACCTCCGTGTGCAGAACAGAACAGATGAGAATAAAGCAACTTACAGAGCCTGAAGATGACCTAGAGGTTCCCAAGCCAGATATACCTGATTGTCTGCATTCAAAAGGCATCCCTCTAGCCCCTCCCCTATAGTGTGCAGAAAGCAAAGGATTATGGGAGCTTCATTTTCTTTTCTAAAAAGAAAAGAATCTTCACATTCCTTAGGTGTCTCTGATTCCCTGAGTTGGGGAGACATTCCATGCAGTAGCTTATTGGATGGAGAGTGCAGTTCACCAGGGTCACTTAATTGTTAACATCTGTGTGGCAATGCACCAGCTCCCTTCCCTGTTGACTTGAGACAGGGGGACAATATTTTATGTGCCCTCCAGCAGCTCAAGACGAAACCGCAAGAAGCTGCCTTTCAGTGCTGGTGTATTTCAGTCAGGAGGAGATTGGTTGGTGCCTTTGCAGATAGCTCATGGACATGGTATGCGGGGCTCAGAGATTAGCTCACAAGGTCTGAGCCGCCTGCTGCTGCTCCCCAGCTTGCTAAAGCTGAGATGCAGGAAGAGTGCTGCAATCAAATGATGCTTGATAAACTGCCTTGAGAGGGTAGCGGAAATAGTGCTACTAGCTGAGGGTGAGCTCTTCAGATGAATTACCATAGCTGGCTTGTCCCAGCAAGCTTTGACTTGCTGTGTTGCTACTCTGACCTGAGTTTAAGGCCGTGCCATACAGATGAGGCTGGCAGGCCCATGTACCTGGCATCCGTGATACTCTCTTTTTCTGTTCCCCTGACCCTTTTGTGATTGTAACAGAATTGGCAAGCTATGTTGGATCTGTGTCGGGAGCAGCTTTCCCTAGTGTAGCAATAACTCAGCGATGCGGAGCGAACATCCCGGGGAGCTCTGGGCTTGCTTAGCTGTTTCAGCTCTGGTGATTCAGTGCAGTGGTCTGACAGATACTGCAACAGTCACTTTATTCCACTATTTTCTCTGACAAACTGAGCGTTTTGCTGTACTGGACAGAGCCAAACCATTCTTAGCAGGCAGTTAAAACCATCTCGACAAGAGAGAGATTGCTGAAATACCGGACATTAGCACATGGTCAGTCAGGATGCACATCAGGTCCTTTGAGCAGACTTTTTGCATGTGGCCATGCCATGAGGTAGGATTATGGTGATAGTTTGGAGTCTTGATAATTGTACTCAGAGCACTGGTGGCATTCATAGAATATCATAGAATATCAGGGTTGGAAGGGACCTCAGGAGGTCATCTAGTCCAACCCCCTGCTCAAAGCAGAACCAATCCCCAGTTTTTGCCCCAGATCCCTAAATGGCCCCCTCAAGGATTGAACTCACAACCCTGGGTTTAGCAGGCCAATGCTCAAACCACTGAGCTATCCCTTCCCCCGCATACCTATCTCCTAGAACTGGAAGGGACCCCGAAAGGTCATCGAGTCCAGCTGCCTTCACTAGCAGGACCAAGTACTGGTTTATTCATTTTATTTAACCTGTAAAATAAAGAACCCTAGATTGAAACTGAAGGCAATACACCAAGGAGACTCTGGAATCTTACATATTGTGGCACTCTCTGCAGTGAGTTTCTGCTAACAGAAACTGTTAAGGTAGCTGTGTTATCCCACCTAGTCAGCTGGGGGAGAAAAAGCACCAGCTGTCAAGAGTAGAACGGGGTGAAATATTCTGAAAATATATTGGAGAGGTTTGAAATTTTTGGATTTTTAATGAAAAACTGAAATTGTGTCTCAAAAAAACCTTTTTTTTAAAAATTAAAATTTTTCATTTTTCAAAAAAAAAAAAAAGAATTTTAACAAAAAAAAAAAAAAAAAAATGGTTTCCAGTTTTTCATAGAAAAATGGGAAAATTTTAACCAAAATAAGAATTTTCTGTGAAAACATTTATTTGGCTCAAAAAGGCATTTTTCATCCAAATATGTCTTGATGATTTTTTGGACCGACTCTATTCAGGTGTGGTAGGGAAAGCAAGAGCCCTTGCACTAATGGAGAAATCAAAGCACTTATGTCCTAGAGATGGCGGCTAGGATGTGATTCCAAAATTGAAATGTTATAAGTCTCCCAGCAGAGACTACGGTCAGGATTACTGCTCATTTGGGGGTGGTAGTACAACAGTGCTAGCGATGGATCATATGCTTTCTGCAGGCCTGGGGCCAGACCATCCCTGGCATCCGTGCACAGTTGCCACTGATTTCAGTAGAAGCTGTGCCATTGTACAGCAGGGCTGAAATTAGTTCCCTCGTCTCTCTGTGAAAATCACTTTAGGAGGCAGCTCACCGTTTCTCAAGCTACCATTACTTAAATAAACTGTGTAGGGAAAGATGCACAGAGGTACTGGGAAGCTACTCAAGTGCCAGGCTCTCCTGCGGAGGCAGTGTAGGGAATGATGCAGAAGTACTGTTTGAGGGGGAAGCTCACAGCTACGTTAGAAGGAGCGTCTCCGAGCTGGATTCTCTCTAGAATGGTGTAGGATCACTGGCTGTGGGGAAGTTCTCTGCTCCTCCGGTCCCAGTCTCTCAGCAGCAGTCACAGTAGGGAATACTGTCAGTGCTGGCAGTGGACGCACGGTAGTCATAGGGTAAGTGATGGATTGAAAATACTCTCCTCTCCTTTTCAGTAGAGTCCTTCAGTGCTCCTTCTGTCAGTGTTTTTCTGATTGTACGCTGGGAAGCCCATTTGAACTGCCGAGGTGTTTATAGCACAGCTGCATGGGTCTGCAACACAAAGGTTACTTTAGAGTTCAGACATGCTTGGAATTTGCCCAGGGATTTCCCGGCTGGATCTTACGCTGTCTAGCATGAACATGACTGCTGTTTAGAAATCAGCAAACAGGATCAGTGCTAAGACCTAGTGATTAATAATGGCTCATTACAGGATCCAAGGCTTGCTGTATCTTTATCAGGGTCCACCACACATTTTGCTGTTGCAAAATCCCGCATTGCCGTCCAGGCCTTCCAGCAGTCATTCTATACTGTGTGTATTGTATTCGACTCTTCAGCACTGCTGTCCTTAATGCTTCAACCATGTGGCTTTAGATAATGTCTGCATATGTAGATCTTGGGTAATATCTGGGTTTGTTTTAACAGCTTCAGAAGCAAACGAGTAGCTTTGCACAGAAGCAACCGAGTAGCTCACTGGGGTCACATTCGTGCTATAGGCCTGAATCACTCCTGTCTGATTCATATTTCATGGCAAACAGCCAACAGCTCCTGCAAAGTTTCATCCATGAGCTAAAATATTAATAGACGCTAATCTGGCAGTTTAGAAGGGAAAAACTAGGCGATGGTAATAATGATTTGTCATCCTCCCAGGCTAGCAAATTAACTTCTGCTGGTTAAAGGGAGCCACCACACCAGGAGCACCTGTTCCAGTGGGGGAGAATCCACAGGAGGGAGGGGCACTTCCTGTTCAGAGCGTCCTGAGTTTCTTTGGATTGGTGTAAATCAGCCTCTTCCCTGGTTATTCTGACTCCTACCAGCAGCTGTCCCAAGCCATCCCCCTCCCTGGTGTTTACTTTGCTTTGTTTTGATTCCTGCAGGCCAGCCAGCTGGGAGTGTACAGGGCCTTCGTGGATAACTATGAGGTTGCCATGGAGACGGCAGAGAAATGCTGCCAGGCCAATGCTCAGTTTGCTGAAATCTCCGAGGTAATGTCATGATGTTCAGACACACACGCTGCCCGGAGCTGATTAATACACTGCGATGTCACTCCTGTGCAGCCTCCGAGTGCCTTTGCAGCCATCGCTCCTCGGAGAGGCTGGGACTGGAGGAGCTGTGAACTTCCCCACAGCCACTGCTCCAGCCCCAGCCCCTCCAGTGGCCTTTAGTTAAGGCTGGCCCTGGAGGAACTATGAATTCTCTCATCGGCAGTTTTTGCTCACTGTTCCCCACAGTGACTCTTCTAATGACTGGCATGGCTTTGAACATTCCTAGCCCTGCTCCAGCATCATGCAGTCCTAAAGAGGAAGGTTTGTTTGAGCTCCTGATGTCTCTTTTTTGCTAATAATGACACTGACTGTAGTGTAAAAGGCCATCTCTAACAGCTTGCATGATGTCTGTCGGTAGAATCACAGGCTTAATTAGCCTCAAGTGCTGAAAGAGGTAGCGCTAGAATGCACTGTTTAAAATGACAAGTGTGTCAAGTGGAATCTTATTATTATTTATTAGGCTGCTTTGATTTCCTCCCTTTGAGTGGGATTCCATGTGTTGAAGTACTTTGCAGGCTTCTCATGCCGTGGGCTCTGGGTGGAGCTCCTTGTGCAGCGGACAGTGTCACTGTGGTGATTACAGCCCCAAGAAACGCCACAGCTGGAAAAAAGCATCTGCCAAAAAAAATTGGATTTAAATGGAACCACCTTTTCAGTATCGGATCTGCGCTGTGCCGGAGGCATTTATTTCTTTTCAAAACACTAGTTCGTCCAGGAGCCCAAATCTTTTTTTATCTTTAAAATTAAAAAGTAAAAAGTTTCAAGACATTAAGATTGAGGGAACACAAACTGGCAATGCCCTTTGAAAATGTGCTGTGGTTCTCATCACAGTGTGAAGGGGTTCCCCACCTTCCATCTGCAGCCATGGCTCTTTGATGGGTTTGGATCCTCAAACACAGCCTGTAGCATCAGCGGTGTCACCTCGCTATCAGGGCAGCTTCCCCCACGCTTAATTTTTTTTAATAGATCAATACAATCGGTAAAGTCTCCTCTGACTAATAGTTAGATGTATTAGTTGTGTTGTGGTAATGCCCCAAAAGGGATCTGGGCCTCCTCATGCTGGGCACTGTACCAAACGCAAATTCTGGGCACCACATATTGTCATTTCCTGGTGGGTAAGTGCTAAAGCCCCTGGCGATGACCACGGTGTAATAAATAGTAAGGATGATGAATATGGGGGTACTTTTGCACTCCTGTGCCCATGTCCTGCTGAGGATTTCACAGCCCTTTACCCACATTAATACATTCAGCCTCAACATTCAGGGCAGCAGCAGAATCCGGAATAGCACCCCGGTCTGCTGACTGCCCACCTTGTGCTTTAGCTACCAGACTATATGTACCCTGAGCCAATGGCACATGCATCCTTGTGGACATGCTCCCGTCTGACTGGTGATAACAACTCAGCCATCCCCAGGTTTTCTCCCATTTGCTGAACATGGCTCCCTGGTTTCTCGGGTCTCTATTAAAACTCACTCTTGGGAATTCTGCTTGGAGCTGGAGGCTCCTGGCAGACACTGACGTGGTGGTGGTAGAGGTACCATCAGGTCAATGCATTTTCCTTCACTGACATGGAATATAGCAGGGTTTTTCTGGATGCTGCTTTAGGCTGACTGTATGAACACAGGCGCCTCTTCCTCCCTTGGAGGAGTTGAGGAGGTTCTGGGTTCCAGGGTGGTGTTTCTGGGTGATGATCAGTCTCCTACACAGATTTTCTTTTTTTTTTTTTTTTTTAGAATCTCAAGGCCAGAAATACAAAGGACTCAAAAGATCAGACAACCAAAAACTCCTTGGAAAGTGAGTGTTCTGTATGGAGGAGACTGGTTTGTCAGTGCTTGGAGGGGTGGGAGTGGAGCTGTCTATTGTTGCCGTGGGTGGAGGGTAGATATATTGTGGAATAACCATTCCCCAGCCCCACCTTCCATGGTCCTTTTGCTTTCTAAATGCTGGTGGGTTATGGTGACTCTGCTTGCTTTCCCCGGGAAGCAGCTCCCTTTTGCTCATTAGCAGAGCACTTGCCTAGAAAGCTGCATGTCTGCGCAGGAAGCCTCCATTAATCTTATTGGCTAGTCGTTCCCTTGGGCAACAGTGGACCATTCACAGAATAGCCATGATCTTTGAAGAGCATATATTGCCTAATAGTAGCACAAACAACATCATACAAGGAATTATTATTTGTACTACGGTGGTGCTTTTTCGCCTTCCTCCGCAGCATGGAGCAGGGGTCGCTTGCTGGAGGATTCTCTGCGACTTGAAGTCTTTAAATCATAATTTGGGGACTTCAACAGCTGAGTCAAGGGAGAGAATTATTCCAGGAGTGGGTGGGTCAGCTTTTGTGGCCTGCATCATGCGGGAGGTCAGACTAGATGATCATAATGGTCCCTTCTGACCTTAAAGTCTATGAGTCTATGCTACAGATCCCAGCTGAGATCAGGGCCCATTGTACTAGGCCCCGTACATACACATAGCAAGAGATTGTCCCTGCTCCAAGGAGCTTCCAGACTTGTTTAAGGCACAGCCTCATGGATGGCTGGATTTGGGAGCACCTTAGAGATGCCAGGCTGAGTTTGGGAGGGGAGGTGGTGCCTTGATCACCCTTCAGAGACCTTCCTGGCAAGATTAGGAGAGGCGCTGAAGGGGAATGGCTCTAGAGAGTGCGGCTAGGCACAGTGCTCAGCTGCAGGGTCAGCCTCGAAGATCTAGAGCTGTAGGATGTAAGAGGTTAATCAGGGTGCCCTGCTGGGAGTGTTCTGTGCCATTCAGCGAGCTCACCATTCTCTCTCCCTCAGCTGCGTGTTGCTTGGGGTGTGCAGTAGGTTGTGTTTTGTGTGTCTCTCTCTGTGTTTGTGCAGTGTGTTTTGAATGTTTGAATTAGCAGTAATGAGCTGTGTGTGCGGAGGGGGGAAAGTTTGTAGAGGGGGTGTGTGTGCTGTGTGGCTGCTGACTGCTTCTCTCCACACACTTGTGTGTTTTATTGACTCTGTAGCTCATTAACTGCGGAGAAGAGAATTGCAGGATGTTTCCTCTGTACTAATGTGTGCCTGTATGTTTGGTTGCATGGCTCAGTGTGCTCTGTAGGGCACTCTGTTTTTAGATGGCTGCCTTTCTTATGCCTCTGCTGCTTTCTGTCCACAGCTCTGCTGTACAAGCCAGTGGATCGAGTGACACGCAGCACGCTTGTTCTTCATGTAAGTAGCTTGTGTGTTTAAATGGCAATTATAAGAGCGCAGACGCTGTCCCCACTTTCTCTTCCCTCCAGCCTTTCCTGCACAGACAGGATTGGGGAAACTAATTCACTCTGCATGGGTGTGTCTTGTCTTTATATGCGGAGGAGCAACTTGAAGTTTCTGGTGGAGAATAATTCCATGTACGGAACCAGTGACATGTCCCCAGCGGGGTTAGCAGGCGAGGTTAGACGCCACAGCTGCAGTGGGATGGGACAGTCATCTGCAGCCTTGCCCCTAACTATAACAAGAGTCCAGAGCCACCTGTCCCAAGGGTTCCAATAACTGGGCTTCCGGAGCCTGTGGCTCGCTGTTCTGGTGGGCGCTGTTCCTTATGCTTGTCCCTTCTTTGTGTTCTTGGTGGTAGGATTTACTGAAACACACTCCAGCAAGCCACCCCGACCACCCGCTCCTGCAGGATGCTCTGCGCATCTCTCAGAACTTCTTGTCCAGTATCAACGAGGAGATCACACCCCGCAGACAATCTATGACTGTCAAGAAGGGAGAGGTGAGTCCCCATCCTCTAGTAACCAGATCTATTTCTAAACACTAGTTCTGCCTTTCTCTGGGAGGGGCTGGAAATTAGGAGAGTACCCTAGCCTTCTGAAGATTACAGCGAATGCAGGGATACCGGAGGACTTCTGCCTCCTTTTGGTGTAGAACTCTAGCATGCTAGCTAAGCTTAATACTCTGTGCAGAGTCATGCTGGCACACAAAGTACTCAAGAATTCCTGGCTCCCAGTCCAGTGTTCACTCCTCTAGGCTATCCTTTCATTCTGTGAGAGGTTGATACCTGCTTGTAGATTTTCTTAAAGCCCATGCTACCAGTTCCTGTGTTGCTGAGACACAGTTTATGCACAGTCCTTGTGTTCCCCAGGACATGGTGTGGCTCGCTGCACATTCTGGTCAGAAGGCTATCTGGAGCTACCACAGGGGAAGCGTGACTAGAATCCCAGCTCCTCTTGCTGCAGCGTGCATAGCATGTGCTAGCCCAATTCAGGGAGAGTTCTCGCTAGTATTCTGTGTGCAAACTGAATAAGGGCCTATGGTTCAGAAGGAAGGAAGGCAGCTGCTGGAATAATGGAAGATTAGAAGGGCATTTTCCAGCACTCGTGACCCTTACATCCCCTCTCAGGCACAAACTTGGCAGGATGTTCACCTAAATCTGCACGTTCAGAATGAAATGCATTTTCTGCATCTTCTAGAAGCCTACAATCCTGGGCAAGAGGGAAATCTCACCTGGGGGCGTGCTATAGCTATCTGTTGTGAAGAGCGAGAGAGGGGCAAGCTGGTCACTGAATGATGCTAGGAGTTGGCACTGTGCTTTCTATCTCTTAAAATATCCCCAGAATGGTGTCAGGACCCAAGGTACAGCGGAGAAATACAGGTTACAGCCCCAGTGTCCAATACACAGAGACTCACTGTGTGAGGGCAAAGAGGTGGAAAATCAGAGCCATTTCTCAAATAGAATGTAAAGAGAAGTAGGAAGGAATCAAAATGGGATGAGAGAGACCCCTTGAGGTAGAAAGCTTAGGGTTGGTCATCTGTCTAGGGGCCATTCCAGTGTTCATTAAAGTCTGTTAAAAGCCCCCCATTAACCTCTGCGGGAATTGGATTGGGGCCCAGAAGTGCTGGGCTCTGTCCCCTCCTCACCCACAGACTGAACTGTTTATAATGGAGACAGACTTCTGCAGTGGTATGGCTCTGTGTGGCTTCCTGAGTTCCTGGGGCAGATCCATCTCTAGGGTAACTCCAGTGTGGTTTTGGTAGGGATGAATTTGGTCCCTCCTGCTCAGTAACAGCCAGGACTGATGAGTGTTGGAGGAGATAGTTGGGTTGGGGGGAAGCTTGGATAAAATGGGGTGGGAGAGCTTGGATGAAAGAGCGGAAACAAGAGAAGCAGCGACAGTACCTTTGTGGTAGAGGAATTGCAGCTGAAGTTGCTGTCATGTCAGAGCTGTGCCCTGTAATCTGCAGAGCCCAAGATGACTACAACTGGATCCAGGGATCCCCTTGAAGACATTCCAGTGAAAAGTCCCCCAGCCCTATAAACATACACATTCCTGGGGTTATTACTGTATGTTTCACTGACCCTGGCAGATGCAGAATGGGGCTGGGGTACTCAGATGGCCCCAGAGTGCATTGTTCCTCAGCGTTGAGCAGGAATTCCCCCATTTACCTCCTGCTTTTGGGCTTGTTTTGAGATGTGCTGAGACTCGAACTGTAGGGGCCAGGCAGTAGCAGGGTGGGATGAAAGTACACACATGAGTGTGGCCAGGGCCTTGGAGACAGAAGAAGGCCTCATTAAAGTGGATGCTGATTGAGTCATAGCAGGTATCGCAGGCTGGAATGCCCCTGTGGCAGGAGAGGGAGTGCTCTGTAGTCTCAGGTCGTCTGTTAGCATCTCAATGAGGGATGCAGGCTTTGCAGTGTCCCGTGGAATGCTAATGAAGTGACAGGAGCCAGGGCAGCGGGAATGAAGCTGTTGTGCTCTCTGGTGAGCTGTGGATTTGTCATCACTTACAAAGTGAGAATGGGGTGTGTGAAGAGTGGGCTCAGCAGGGCTGCTCCTGTTCCCATTACGCTGTGGTGAAAATACTGACTTCAGGTGGTTACTCCGTGGTTACTCTTGTGGCAGGGACAGCAGGATCAGGGCTGAAAACAGGTTTTCCTGTGCGATGGAGGGCATCCATGACTCTCTCTCACTCGCATGCACCTACTCTGCTCACAATCTGTTCCAAGCCGAGGTGAAGAATGATGCTTATTCCAGATCTTTCTCGGTGTTGCCCTTTAACTTCCTTTCCCTCTGGGAGTCGAATGCTAGCTGCTTCCTTTGGCTTTTCTGCACCAAAGGCCCTGCCTCTAGGAGGGGCAGGGCACCACCTTCTCCCCCGAAGCTTGTCCAGAATGGGGAGTGTTAGAAATTGTGATCCAACTGCCTGCAACAGGAGTGGACTCCCAGCCATTCACGAATGAAGGATTTGTGCACGATCGTCCTAAAGAGTTAACAAGCCCCGCTCCCCACCACCAACAGCCCTTCCAGGTTGGGATCAGAGCTGGGTTTTGTCTGTGTGTGTAAATCTCTGGCTTAGCCTTTCCTTCTGCTCCCCTTGTCTGTGCCCTCCCCGGGGTGATGGGATAGCACGCAGTTTGCATGTCCTAATTGACGGCTCTCAATGCATAATGCATTTTTTATTTTAATGAATAGCCAGCTTGCTTTGATGGCTTTTATTCATTATTTACCTCCCTCCCATTGGAGATTCCTTTGGGGGGGGGGGGGCGGCTAGTTGCTGTAGCTCCAGCCTCCTCCTCTCACACAGTGCTCAGGTGCCAACCTCAGTTGTTAGCGTGCATAGAAAGGGCTCTTTTTCTCTTCTTTTCTTTTTCCAGCCAGCAAAAGGCTCCCAATCCCCATCTTTAATGTGGAGTGGTTTTCCCCTTTGGTGAGCACAGCGCAGGGAGGATGTAAATCCCCTTTGCCTGCCTCTCGCTGCCCTGGCTTTTGCTGGATTGCTTTGAATTGGGGAAAGCAGCCAGTGGTTAATCACCCTAGTGACAGGCTGCTAAAAGAGTGTGTGTGTACGTGTACGTGCACAACCTTCCACACACACACCCTCCCCCAAGGTTATTGATCCGCTGCTTTAGGTGCTTTCATTTGCTACAAGGCACTTGGCTGCATCCTGCACACCATGAGGAAAGCAAGGTTTGCTCACCACAGAGGAGCTTGTTCCCTCCCATCCTAGCCACTGGAATATTCCATAAAGTAACTCCAGTATCTTGCCCCAGACACTTCCCAGTCCATGTTTAAACCAGGATGTGCTGTGACCTTTATGGCACGGCAAGGACAGCCCAGCACGATGCTCTCAAGGCCATTGATATTACCTGTCCCCCTTCTCTGCCGTGTCTCCGCTTACTGTGCGATACAGCAGTGCTGACCGGGCAAGGGAGAGCTGCAGATTCAGCCCCGTTCCCTTTGTGATCTGTGCATTCGATCTTTCGATGGGAATTGAAGTGGGAGGCATGGTCCTGAGGCAGCCTGTGGCTCCTTGAGTGTGTGGGCCTGGCGGGTCCCGGACGTAAGGAGGGGGGCAGAGTTACCACTTTCTGGATGCTTCAGGGATGTGGCCAGGATGCTACTTACAACAAAAGCCAGAAGAAATGGGGCTCTGTCAAGGCCAGGGTGTGGCTCTGGGGTTCTTCTCTAGCCTGTTGTGGGGAATTGAGTCGCTTGTCTCCGCAGCATACAACTCATGGACTTGTGGGGAAAGATGCAGTGTCTAGGATTTGGTCCGTAGGATGGCAGAAGGAGATAACCACTGCACCTATCATGGGGGGATATCCCCCTGTGAAGGAACAGTAACCTGGATGGAATGTTATGCTTCTGGGGACATCTCTTAGCCCCCCAGTATCTCCCCTGCCAAGGAACGTGGAAATGCCTGCCTCCCTCCCTGTCAACCTCTTTTCTCCTTCCTGCTTGTTAGTGTTTCTGATTGATCCTTCCCTAAGTGCCCACTTCAGTAACTTGCCAAGTAGTAGTAAAGAGCTCGCTGGGATGTCCCTGAGTGACATGCAGCCTCCTGATTTAGGGCATGTGAGAAGTTCAGATTCCTTCTTATCTTGTGCACGTGGCCCCACTGCAGCTCCAAGCCAGGGCCTCGTTTGCTCACAGCCGACTCTTCACCCTCCACCATTCATTTTCTTTGTTTCAGTTATAGGGGGTCTTTTGAGGGGAAAAATCCCCAAGCGCTCCAGAAGGATCAGTCCCTACGGTTATACCCAGCGATCCTGCACAGCCTCCAGTGGGGTGGCTGGTTTGGCAACACTCTGGTGCAGCTTTCCCAGAGGTTCCTAGCTGCAGCCGGTGTGAGAATGGCTGGCTGGAGGAATCGATATCTCCTCTCTGAGCAAGAGCTTAATGCTGAAACTTCCCCCTCTGCTGTTCCCTATCCAGTTCTGCCTTTGCTTGTAAAGCAGGAGTTAATGGAACTGCTAAAAGCACTGAGCTCCTTAGCGGGAGAGAGGCAGATTCCCACTGCGGGGGGGGTCCCAGTCAGTCTCATGTTTTTCTCCATCATATCTGAGACGCTCAAGCCTGGCTGTGGACTGCAATCTCCATATTTCTGAAGTTAGTTGGTAAATGCATCTGACAGTGAATTGCCTCTGAGGGATCAGCCAGGTGACCTCTGAGTGGCAAATCATCATTGGGTTTAGGCTACAGTCGCATGAGGGAGAGTTTGAGGTAGGGAAAGAGAGAACAATAGGGGACTGTTTACAAAAGGAAACAGGCAAAGGTGTGAACTGGAGCGTCACCGGGTTTGTGGGCGGGTCTCGGACATCTTGGGGCCTGGGGCTTGCTGCTTCTAGTGGCCCTGGGCAGATGCTGTCTGCAGCAGTGTGCTCAGAAATACAGTTTTGGATTTCACACTCTCTGTCTCCTGGCTGAAGCCCTATAGCTCCCACTGTCAGTCACTTTGGAAAACAAAAGGCTGTTAGACTATTAAGAGAAGC